GAAGATCCACCCATATTGTCACAAATGGCGGCATTTCATCTTTTTCATGGCTGAGTAGTATTCCATTGTATATCTGTACCCCAGCTTCTTTATCCAATCATCTGTCAAAGGACATTTAGGTTTTTTTGCCATGTCTTGGCTACTGTAAATAATGAACAGAGGGTACATATATCTTTACAAAGAAGTGTTATCAGATATTTCAGGTAGATACTCAGAAGAGGAATTGCTAAGTCACATGGTAGCTATAGTCTTAATTCTTTAAGGAACCTGCATTTCTGTAGTGGCTGCACCAATTTACATACCCACCCGGGTTCCCTTTTCTCGACATCCTCACAAACACTTGTTATTTCTTGTCTGATCGTCGTCTTTTTTATTTCTTGCAGTTTTATGTGCTGAAAGAGTTGGCCAGATGACTAAGACATATAATGACATTGATGCTGTCACTCGGCTTCTTGAGGAGGTAAGTGTTTCGGGGAAAGGGAAAGGGTCGCTTAGAATTGATCGATTGTAATTGGTATTGATTAAAGCATGCGTTACTGTGAGTCTCAGGGAAGAATCTCAGAAATGGGGCCTTCTCAGGGGATCACTTAGTGGCTTTATTTTTTGTATCAATAGCTTTGTAGTTCTTTGTAGCGGTAAGCTTGTTTATGGTATTTCAGGTTTTACAATGAATGTATGAATGATACAGCATTGGATAAGCATGGAAAGACTTGCTAGAATACCCAGTTTCAAGATTTTTTAAAAACCCCTAAAACAGTGGTTGGCCAACTCATTAGTCAACAGAGCCAAATATCAACAGTACTTCTTCAAAATAGACTCGTCCAGGCCGAAAACCAACTTCTGCGCATGGGCCATGAAGTTTCAATCGCACTGTACATGCGCCCTCACGTGCTATTTTGTGGAAGAGCCACACTTAAGGGACCAAAAAGCCGCATGTGGCTCGCGAGCCGCAGTTTGCCGACCACGGCCCTAAAATATATTCCCACAATATATTTTCAGTGCATCCAAAAAAATATCAGAAAAAAAATATATCATTACCCATATCTTTGTAATGTATTCTTTTTTACTTACATCAGGTTAAGGGGATTTTATTATGTAGTGTCACGTGGAGACAACCAAAACAAGCAGGGCAGGAAGAACTTAGGAAACTTGCGTAGGTTCCCGTGAGCTGCTGGCATGTTAGAGACATGGTCTTGTCGGTTTCTTCTCGGCATTCTGTTGGCTTTCGAGAATTGTGGAGCCATGAAGGGACGCCTCTAGAAACAGATGAGTATAATGTGTGTATTCCCATGCCTAGAGCAGGCCAGAACATGGCAGGTTCTTAGAATGTATTTGTTGAATAAGTAAGCAGGCCAGAACATGGCAGGTTCTTAGAATGTATTTGCTGAATAAGTGCCAAAACATTATCATCCCAACCCCCAAACCCCAAATCAGGCCTTTAAGGCACTTGTAGATCCTTGTTTCTGCTCTGGAATCAAGAATGAGTTGGGGTCATGTGACCATTCATTAGCCCTTGCCCGCAACCAAGGTACATGCCCTTGACCGGAATCGAACCCAGGACCTTTCAGTCTGCAGGCCGACGCTCTATCCACTGAGCCAAACCGGTTTGGCAGTACCAGTCTTTAAACATTATCATCCCAACCCCCAACCCCCAAATCAGGCCTTTAAGGCACTTGTAGATCCTTGTTTCTGCTCTGGAATCAAGAATGAGTTGGGGTCACGTGACCATTCATTAGCACTTCTGCAGGAAAAGAATAGAAGGATGTGGGAGACACAGGAATCTTTGTTGGCATTTTCAACCACTAGCAGGACAAGGTTGAGACACAAGACCAAGTGGCAATAGTGAGAACGAGTTGGTGTTTTTTTTGGGGGGGGGGCATCTTTTTACCCCAGTTTTTGTCTCTCCTTTCCTGTGTTTTTCCCTTCTGCACATCAGCATCTCCTATCAGCTCTGAGGGTCTGAGATTGATTCCCTCTGGGTTCCTGGGGGCTCAGCTGCCCTGCAACCCCTCCCCCCCCATTTTCCTGAGGGCCACCCACTAACAGGCCCAGGTGAGTGGAGTGGGGGCAGGAGCTGAGACCCGCTTGACCACTGCACGGCAGAGAAGATACAAACTCAGCCCCAAATGAGTGATACTAGGTGTTCTGGCTGTGACAGGGCCGGTGGTGGGGCATGGTAGGGTACAGGGCTTCTGGGGGCGCTCCAGTCATCGCCATCTTGGTGGCCGGTGTTGGCCAAGTGGGAGGCTAGCATGGCACCACTACCGACTTGGGAAAATGGTTTGTTCCGGACGCCTCTCTGCTGTGTCCATTTCCCCAAGAATGCCAGCCCCCTGGGATCCTCTCCAGGTCGGGGTGTTTCCAGCCACTGCTCCTCGCCCCATTCCCCGTGAGTTTCCAAGTCTGTTCAGTTAGGAACCTGTGTCTGAGGGTGCAGAGGTACCCTGGCTGGCAGGGCTGCTTTCCCGCCCAGGCCCCTCTCTGCAGGGGGGCGGGGAGGGGGTGTGACTCTGTTGCTTTGGCCGTCAGGTTCAATGCTCTGCGGATTTAGTTTTGGGGAACATGGTTCGTTGTATGTCACTGGATCATTTTTACTTTAAAAACAGGAGCCGAGTAGTGTGTTTTAGGGGGTGCCCCCTGCCCGCATGCTTGGCTCTGGCGGAGTTTGAGCTGGCAGTGCTGGGACCTCCAGAGGCGACACGTGCTCCACTCTGACCAGTGACCAGAGAGGATCTCTTCCCAAGGAGCCTGGGGGTCCAGCCCTTTATGCAGATGCTGGTTAGAAATAGTTCACTTCCCCCAGCGAATTTCCTGACTGTGCCAGCGCATAAAGAGTAGCTGTTGCTTGTATAACAACCGAGGTACTAGAGAGAATACTGTGAGGCCGTTTTCAGGTGGCTGTGTTGTGCCGCGTTGGTTTACTAGTCATTGGCAGTGGCTCTTCGCCGCACGGACGTGTGTATCGGTGTGTTTGGTCTCTGCCATTCTTCCCCTTGTCCTGATAAGAATCACATCTGAGTCGCTGCCTTTCTTTGGAAGAGGCGGGTTTCCTGGTGAACGCCTCACTGCCCCAGGCGTGTGACCTTGTACTGCGTGTGCTTGTCTTGGCTTTGGTTCCGTTCCCTCCCACCGTGATCGTTTGCTTTGGTTTGCACGCCTGCCGCATGCAGATGGGGTGCTGGGAGGTGGTGGTGGGGAGCAGGGGAGGGTGCACAAGGCCCCAAAGCACGGTCAGTGTGGAGTTCCCCGTGAGTTTCCAAGTCTGTTCAGTTAGGAACCTGCGTCTGAGGGAGCAGAGGTACCCTGGCTGGCCCGGCTGCTTTCCCGCCCAGGCCCCTCCCTGCAGGGGGGCGGCGGGGGACGGACGCGTGACTCTGTTGCTTTGGCCGTCAGGTTCAATGCTCTGCGGATTTAGTTTTGGGGAACATGGTTCGTTGTATGTCACTGGATCATTTTTACTTTAAAAACAGGAGCCGAGTAGTGTGTTTTAGGGGGTGCCCCCTGCCCGCATGCTTGGCTCTGGCGGAGTTTGAGCTGGCAGTGCTGGGACCTCCAGAGGCGACACGTGCTCCACTCTGACCAGTGACCAGAGAGGATCTCTTCCCAAGGAGCCTGGGGGTCCAGCCCTTTATGCAGATGCTGGTTAGAAATAGTTCACTTCCCCCAGCGAATTTCCTGACTGTGCCAGCGCATAAAGAGTAGCTGTTGCTTGTATAACAACCGAGGTACTAGAGAGAATACTGTGAGGCCGTTTTCAGGTGGCTGTGTTGTGCCGCGTTGGTTTACTAGTCATTGGCAGTGGCTCTTCGCCGCACGGACGTGTGTATCGGTGTGTTTGGTCTCTGCCATTCTTCCCCTTGTCCTGATAAGAATCACATCTGAGTCGCTGCCTTTCTTTGGAAGAGGCGGGTTTCCTGGTGAACGCCTCACTGCCCCAGGCGTGTGACCTTGTACTGCGTGTGCTTGTCTTGGCTTTGGTTCCGTTCCCTCCCACCGTGATCGTTTGCTTTGGTTTGCACGCCTGCCGCATGCAGATGGGGTGCTGGGAGGTGGTGGTGGGGAGCAGGGGAGGGTGCACAAGGCCCCAAAGCACGGTCAGTGTGGAGTGTTTGCGTCTGGGGGTGCGGGGACAGGATTCGCAGCTTGCCCTAGCTCGGTGCTGCGCGGAATTTACCTCTGGGCAAAGCTTGCCTCCTCCCCAGTTACCGAGAGGGTTATTCCGAGGGCTTGTTAGTCACGCTTTTTATCCTAAAATTGGTGAATGGGATGAGTTAGCTGCCTGGTGTGGGGGGCAGGGTGCTCTCCAGCTCCAGGGTTGTGTTCATTGGTTAAAGGGGCTGAGACACAAGTCACCGTGTGTTTTTAAACAAAGCCTATCTGGGAAGAGGGAGTGAACAGTGAGAATGAGTCCACCCAGCCACCTTTCCCGGCCACTAAAAGAACCCACTCTTTAATAGCCTATTTCCAAGGGCCTAAGTTATTTAGTTGTATGTAGTCTTGTCTTCTCGCCGTATTTGAATCCAGTGGTCATTTCCTAGCTGCTTCCCTGCATTCAGAAGTAAATGTTGTTGGCTGATGGTAAGAAATGGGAGTTTTTTCGTTCTTATAATTCTCCAAGAGACACTCAGCCAGGCTGCCACCTTAGAAAAGAGAAGCCAGAGACACTACATACAGGAACTTTTTTGTTGTTTTCATTTCATCCGTAACTATTTTTACTAGAATGCCTTGCCCTTTTACTCCCCCCGCCCCCAGCAGAGTTTTCTAAGCCAGAGACACTACATACAGGAACTTTTTTGTTGTTGTTTTCATTTCATCGGTAACTATTTTTACTAGAATGTCTTGCCCTTTTACTCCCCCCGCCCCCAGCAGAATTTTCCTTATGTTCCTATAAGGATTAGGTTTTTGGTGCAGAGGAGGTGAGAGCTCAGGTCAGTGGGGCAGGGCCGGGTGGAGACTGGGGTGCAATGAGGAGGGCGAGGGGCGTGGTTGTTGAGCTCCTGCCCACTCGCTCTTCTTCCCCTTCCTGTTTCCTGGTCCTCCTGGGCTCTGGCCTCCCCCTGCTCTCGCACTGCCTTCCCCAGCCGGTCTTCCTTGTTATCATTTCTGCTTGACTTGTTTGCAGTGGAATGTGTGTACAGAATGTGGCTGAGGCTTAGCCAGTGCCTGTGCTTGTTGGAACTCTGCAGCTCGGAGGTGTGGAGAAGGAACAAACTTCCCTCCACCCTCAGGGTTCCTCTGGCCGGCCTAGTAACCAAGTAGACGTGAGACCGATCAGCAAGAGAAAATAACCCAAGCGAATACCGACATATGTATGGGGACCCCACATACACGAGAGAGTCCAGGACCCCACCCGCAGGAGAGGATGTGAGACAGAAAGGGACCATGGACATAGAAGACATCCTGAGCTAGGACGAGCCTGGGTGCTTCAAAGGGTCATTGTTGGATGAGAAGAAGAGCAGATGCTTAGTAAATAGAAGTTTGTCCTGCAATTAGTTATGTCAAAAGAGGTTCCCTCTCATAATCTTTTACTGTGGGCAATGCCCCTAATGTAAGTTCTAGATAGTTAAGGGAGGGGCAGGAGTTGCCTTTAGCTCAAAACAATCTGCATACTGCAAAGGCACGTCTTGGGGTGACTCGTTCTGAACCCCTATGGTTGCATGCTGGAGATGCAGAAGAGTGAGGCAGCGAGCCAATGGGCATGAAGCCCCTGTTGGGTACAAGTCTGAGGACTTGCTCTAGTAGTGAAATCGAGTAGACCTGAGTGAACTTGGTGGAGACCACACTTCTAAGGGACATGGACTTGGTGTTGCAGTTTTAGCTGAGTGTCCTCCGGCGGAAACCACTTGGACTACAGCCTCTAGACAGGTAGGTGTGCAAGTGCCCTCACACAATCCCTTTGGGTCCTTTCCTCCAGGTGCCAAACAGGCACCACTGTTGAGTCTGAGAAGTGATCCAGGGCCATTGAGCGAGGACCCTCCTTGGTAGACACTGTAGCTGGCGTGGATGCCTACACAGAGATGAGCATCTCGGCTGAGTGGGCAGATTCACTGGCCACCTTTGTTCCATGGGAGGGAGTGCTGGGGAGACACAAATTGTGGGAATGAGCTGGGGTATTTACGGCTCACTTCACGTGACACCCGGCTGGCTTCTGGGACAGTGGAGACAGCAGTTATGGGCCTTAGCACTGTCAAGGACCTGGGGGCGGGGACAGAGTCAAATCCCTGTCAATCCAGAGTCTTCCCAAATTACACTCTGACCTCCAGTCATTCAGTGGAACACCTGTGATAAGCCAAGGGAAGGCATGCTGCTGTTGCACGGAGGAGTTCAGTGGATGTGTAAGAAGTTAGAAATGAAAGCTATTGATTTTTATTTATTTACTAGAGGCCTGGTGCACGGATTCGTGTACCAGTGGGTCCCTTGGCCTAGCCTGCGGGGATCGGGCTGAAACCAGCAGTCCAACATCCCCCGAGGGGTCCCGGATTGCGAGAGGGCGCAGGCCGGGCCGAGGGACCCCACTGGTACATGAATCTGTGCATCAGGCCTCTAGTGTTCATATAAGATCTTTGGTTACTCTCTTCCCACCCTCCACTCTACCCTCTTCCCCCCTTTCCTCTGAGATTCATCAGTCTGTTCCATGTTTCCATGCCTGTGGTTTCCACTCCTTCGTTGAGCATCTGCCCACTGGTGGTCAGTGCAGTCATAGCTACCGGCCAGTCAGCCAGTCGCTTAGGCTTTTATATATATAGATTTTTTAAAAAAACAAACATATTTTATTGATTTTTTTTACAGAGAGGAAGGTAGAGGGATAGAGAGCTAGAAACATCAATGAGAGAGAAACATCGATCAGCTGCCTCCTGCACAACCCCCACTGGGGATGTGCCCGCAACCAAGGTACATGCCCTTGCCCGGAATCAGTCCGCAGGCCGACGCTCTATCCACTGAGCCAAACTGGTCAGGGCATATATATAGATTTTTTTAATGATACAAGTCAATGAATCATTAAGCTGGAAGATTTTTTTCAAGGGTATCTCAGCTAGTCTGCCCCTCTGCCCTCCTCCATCTGACAGACAACCGGGCCCAGGGATGTTCCATCAGAACCCGAACTCTCACAGTTTCAGAGTTGAACAGTTCACCTGCAACAGGTAAACTTTGGACCTGTACCCGCTGTAAGAAATGCATCTTAGGTTGTGGCCCAGGACTCACATAAGTAAATACATGACAAGCAAAAGCTTATGTGTGAAATCGTACCCTTATTACGTGGAAGGCACTTTGGTATTTCGTTTCTGTGCTGTTGAATTTCTTTAAACCGAATTGTCGGCTGCCACTACTACAATGACTCTCAACCTGCTCAAGGGTTATTGCCTGTCTTTGGAGAAAGCTAACCTGGAGTGTGCCTGATCCTCACGGAGCGGGGACATTGACCTGAGGCCGCGTAGTTAGTTAATAGCCGATCAGAAGCTATGACTGACTCCTGCCCAGCTTTTTTTCTTTTTTCCTGATCTTAACTACATGAACCTAAAAATAAAAGGCTTTTCAAAGTGAGAGGCAACAAGCATTTATTTGAGATTTAAAAAAACAAACAATGAAGAATAGCTATTCGGGAAGCACTGATTTAGGCAGAAACCCAAATAATGTTCCAGTTTAGGGGTAGTTATGAGAAATGGGGACAGTTCCATCAGTAGAAGGAAGACACTCTTATTGGTGCAGAAAAGCTCACATGGGGATGTTTATTCTAAAGAAGGGTTTGAGTTTCCAGTCCAGTCGTCTGTCAGTCCTGTTGTCATAATATCTGCTTGCTTGTTACCCTGTAAACAGTTCTTTGGGACACGAGGTTACCTAGGCTCGTTCTAAAGGGGATTGTGCCCTGTTTGAACATCTCAGAGGTTTGAGGCATGAGACGTGCAAGGCAGTGCCCCTGGGGTGGCAGCTCCGGCTCCCTTTTCTTTTTTATTTTTTTTAAAGATATTTTATTGATTTTTTACAGAGAGGAAGGGAGAGAGATAGAGAGTCAGAAACATCGATGAGAGAGAAACATCAATCAGCTTCCTCCTGCACCGCCCCTACTGGGGATATGCCCGCAACCAAGGTCCATGCCCTTGACCGGAATTGAACCCGGGACCTTTCAGTCCGCAGGCCGACGCTCTACCCACTGAGCCAAACCGGCTAGGGCTCCGGCTCCCTTTTAGAGTGGCTCCGTTTCCGTTGTGTTTCTTTAACAACTACATGCTCCCATTCCTCTGCTCTTCACGCCAGGTGAACAGAATAATTAGCACAGGCTTCTGAAATCATTTAGTTCCCAGAGGTCTCCTCCCCTTGCCAACTGCCACCTAAACGTGAGCAAGTTGAGTCTGACCCCGTGGCCAACAGCCCCTCCGGCGGGCTCAGGGAGCCTGCTTCTGGCGATGGCGGCCGCCCACTGTCTCCACTGTCGGGACCCTTGACAGGCCCCGCAAGGTTTTCCTGGGCGTCCTGCTCTGAGAGATGTCACCAGCTGAACCAAGACACTTCTGTGTCAGGGACACACCTCTGACTCTGAAGTAGGGCAACTTTTATGCCTTGTTGCTCCATTTGGAAAGTATTTTAGAAAAATAAAGCCTCGCCCGGCCAGCGTGGCTCAGTGGTGGTCGAGCATCGACCCGTGATTCAGGAAGTCATGGTTCAATACTCGGGTTTCCGGCTCCATCCCCAGTAGATGTGCAGGAGGCAGCCGATCAATGATTGTCTCTCATCGTTGATATTTCTATTTCTCTCTCCATCTCTGAAATTATATATATTTAAAAATAAATAAGTATAACAAAGCCTAAGTAGATTCCCATTAAGTAAAAGAAACATGTTGTTGCATTTCAGAGTATCCGGAAACATTTTTGTTTCACAGGAGGCAAGTACAAGGAACCGGGTCAATTCCAGCTTAACATGTGCCGAAGAGGCTGCCTCCCTGCTTCTATACTTGGCTCTCTCACAGAAACACTCTGGAATTTCTGGGTCCATTCATTCATCCAGCAGCTGGCCACTGGGTGTTTCCATGTGCTGGTACCTGGCAATACAGGTAGCCCAGCCGCAGGCCTCCCGGAGAGATGGCTATCAGATGACTACACGAATACCAAAAGCAGCTGCAGAGAGACGTTCTGGAAGCAGGCTTTTCCTGCTGGAACAGAGACTTGTTTTCATCAGATGTCAGGGTTTCCTTCCAGGGCCGGGGTCGGCGTAGCTCCTGCAGGTTACGTGGGCCGAGTGGACACCTCTTTGAACGGGTGTCCGGTGCTGGTGAATGGATGGTGAATTATTAATCCCTTTGTCGTTTCTAAATGCCCTTGTTTTCCTCCATGGGCTCGTTCAGGACGCCTGAGGTTTTTTGTTTGTTTGTTTGTTTTTGTTTGTTTTTTTTAGGACGCCTTCGTTTTTTTAAAAAATCTCTGCTCTCCCTCTGCAGAAAGAGCGGGATTTAGAATTGGCTGCTCGGATTGGCCAGTCGTTGTTGAAGAAGAACAAGACCCTCACCGAGAGGAACGAGCTGCTGGAGGAGCAGGTGGAGCACATCCGGGAGGAGGTGAGGAGCCGGCGCGGCGGGGCCACAGGCGCGGTCCAGGGTGATTGATGGAAAGGGTCCCATTCGGAGAGGCCCCCGAGGGCTCGCCCAAGCCCTGAGCCCAGAGCTGCCTGCTCTCGCGTGGCCACCTGGACACAGAACGCTGCCTTCCTGCAGCTCCCGTTCACTGTGTCTCCTGCCCACAGTGGGGCCTCGTCTCCCATCTGGTAAGATGACCCATGTCTCTGGGCATTTGCCCAGCTACTGACTTGCTAAGCTATCTGCCCCCAGACATCATTCTAGAAACTTCTAGTCCCTTCTCACCTCTTCTCCATACCAAAGTAAAAATTGTAAATTGAGGCAGAGAGATTTTTTGGCCAAAGAGTAATTCATTGTATTTTTCTCAAAGAGGATGAAACGTAACTGTTTGTTTTTTTTTATTAGAACAAAAATCATTTACAGGCCTTCACTTTTAAGGAGGATCAATGATTTTCAAAATATTGAGTAATTCATTGTATTTTTCTCAAAGAGGATGAAACATAACTTTGTTTTCTTTGAATAGAACAAAAATAATTTACAGTCCTTCACTTTTAAGGAGGATCAGTGTGTGTGTGTGTGTGTTTTTTTTTTTTATTGATTTCAGAGAGGAAGGGAGAGGGAGAGAGAGATAGAAACATCATCATTGATGGGCTGCCTCCGGCACGGCCCCTACTGGGGATCGAGCCCGCAACCCGGGCATGTGCCCTGACCTGGAATCAAACCATGACCTTCTGGTTCAGGTCGACGCTCAACCACTGAGCCACGCCGGCCGGGCCAAGGAGAAATTTTTAAAACGCTGTCACTGAGCAGCAGGTGTTTGAGCACGAGTGGGGACGTGGTCCTGTGTGGGGCGTGAACGACGGGCCCGGCTGTTTGTGCAGGTGTCTCAGCTCCGGCATGAGCTGTCCATGAAGGATGAGCTACTCCAGTTCTACACCAGCGCCGCGGAGGAGAGCGAGCCCGAGTCCGTGTGCTCAACCCCGTAAGTCCCTGGGTCCGGGGTCACAGCACAGGCTGGCTGCCGTCCATGTCCGTGGAGCTGCCTGGGCAGGGTCGGTCACCTTCTCCAGCAACGCAGGTCAGCCGCTCTGGCCTCCTCTGACCAGGCACCTCCCAGTGCCTGGCACAGACCGTGTCACCGTTTCAGTGGGACGTGGAAGGACAGGTTTTTTGTTTTCCTCTGACTGGGGCTTCTTGTGCATTTGTCAGTTCAGACTGACATGGCCTGGCATGTTGGTAGGTGACAGGGTGGGCTCTGCTGTTAGGGTTCTGAAGCCTGAGGTACTGTGGGGGGACCTGGGGAACAGGAGGTGTGGGGGCTTCTCTGAGAGTCTGCAGAGCCTCATGTTAGCGGCATGAACTCAAAAGCCGGATGGTCTGAGTTCAGTTCTCGACGCTGTGGCTTCTTAGCTGTGTGTTCTTGGCTAAGTTACTTAACCTCTCTGTGCTTGTTTCCTTATTTTAAAATGGGGATAATAAGACTAGCACTTAGTTCATAGGGTTATGCGCATTAAGTGACTTAATACCTGTATTTGAAACAGCAGTTGGCACCCAGAAGCGCATTATACATATTAAACTCCCAGGCATTCAGAATTGTGAGGGCTTCAGATAGAGCCGGTTTCCCTGAATACTAAGACAACGTGACAACTGCGAATTGTGGACAAGGGCTGGGTTGTAAGTCTGAAGTGGGAGCGAGCCTGTGTGTCCTGGGGGTGCGGGAGCAGCCGGATGGGCCACTGTCACGCCTGCGCGTGTCCCGACGCCCCTGCAGACGGGCTGTGTGCCTCCCTGTGGTGCACCAGGCGGCAGGGGGAGTGTGTCTCTCCCTAGAACTCGATCTTACCTTCTCCCCAGGTTGAAGAGGAATGAGTCATCGTCCTCAGTCCAGAATTACTTCCATCTGGATTCGCTTCAGAAGAAGCTGAAGGACCTGGAAGAGGAGAACGTTGTACTTCGATCCGAGGTGGTGTCCGCACCCCGCTCTTGTCCGCTCTGGGGGGTGGCGGCCCTGTCCACCTTATCTGCCCTTCTCAAAGGTTCTCTGTCAGAACCACCTGAACCTTGGCTCATTCCTGTGCTGGGTGTTGCCTCCCAGGGCTGGGGCGGACCCGCTGGTGAATTATGCAGCGTGTGGAGGGGCAAGGGTGGGTGGCAACCCGTCCCCCTTTGCAGGGTAGAAGGGGATCTTTCCAGGGTGTTCTCCAGCTCTACTGGCATGACGTGGAGGCCCAGTGTGAAGGCCCCGTTTTCCTGTCCCCCCAGGTGACACCAAACAGTACCCGAGGAAATAGTGGCTGAGAACTCGGAGACACGTTTCTTAGTTGAGACTGAGCAGAGCCACCCTGGGAACTCCTGCTTCTGAGGGTCCCTAATTGGCTGGGTTTTGTGCTCGGTACTTTGCCTGCATTATTTTTTACTTTATTTATTTATTTTTAAAAATATTTTTAATTGATTTTTTTTTTTAGACAGAGAGGAAGGGAGAGGGAGAGAGAGAAACATCGATGTGAGAGCGAAACATTGATTGGCTGCCTCCTGCACACCCCCTGCCAGGGATCGAGCCCAAAACCCCCTGGGCATGCGCCCTGTTCGGGAATGGGACTGGCAACCGTTCCGGGCACGAGACAGTGCCCAGCCAGCGGAACCACGCTGGCCAGAGCTGCCTTGCTTTTTAAACTCTCCACAGCAAGGCTGGGAGCTGGTGACTTTGCGTCTCATTTCCGTTGGGAAGGCAGGACCCCGGCTGCCGCGAGTTTTGATTTCCCAAGGCCGTGCATGTCAGTGGATGACGGAGTTCGGATTTGCAAGTCTCCGTGACTCCAGACCCCACACTGCTTCCCCTCACCCCCCATCTCTATCTAGAAACGCTGCAAATTCAGTACTTTTTGTCTTAAGCATCAGTGCGTCTTTGCTCTCTAGCCAGAGGGGTGGTGCAGCCTGTTCATCAGGCCCTTGTTTGTCAAGTTGGGGCTGATTCCCACCTGAGCTGGCTCAGCCCTCTCCCCACCCCACCCCAAAGCTCATCCCATAGGGCAGACCACCCGTCACCTTGAACTTGCCCACACGTTGGAAACAACCTCCTGTCTGGGCTGAACGGGACACTGAGGCATGAGGAAAGGGTCACGCTGTCTCAGAAGTCACCTCTTCCAGCCCCTCGTTTACTGAGCGGTTGTCTGAGCGCTCTCTGCCAGCCAGTGGCCCAGCCAAGACACGCCCAGTGCTCCCCATTCTGAGTCTGGTGCTGCCCCTCCCAGTGTCATCTGCCCCAGGTAGACACTCTAGTCCTGGGCACACAGCAATGGCCCCTCCGTCAGTCTCTTCACCTAAAGCACTGGTTCTCAACCTTCTGGCCCTTTAAATACAGTTCCTCGTGTTGTGACCCAACCATAAAATTATTTTCGTTGCTACTTCATAACTGTAATGTTGCTACTGTTATGAATCGTCATGTAAATACCTGATATGCAGGATGGTCTTAGGCGACCCCATGAAAGGGTTGTTCGACCGCCAAAGGGGTCGCGACCCACAGGTTGAGAACCGCTGACCTAAAGCAACCAGGGAACCTGATCCCAGCCAGAGTCCGCTGCCCCCCCTCGGCTTTCAGGAGGGTGGTGTCTCTGTGGGGCCAGGACCTTCTGTCTAACTGGGGTGTTCAGATCTCTAGCCTCCCACCTTGTTAGCCGGGAGCAAGCTACACAGAGTCCTGGGATAGCTGCTGGGCCTCTGAATTTTACTGCTTTCATCTCGTACCTTGTTTTTGCTCAGCGGAATGCAAGAGATTTAACTCCAACTTAGTAGAACCTCATAGGACAGTGCCCAGCACATAGTAGGTGAATGTGTAGGCCATTCTCCTTGTGGCTAGCCTTAGAACGCCCATGGGAGGCAGAGCTGTGTCCGAGGCACTTTTTGAGTCACAAAGGGGTTCAGGCTGTGAGCCAGGACAGACACAAATGAATAGACAGACAGACTGGACACAAGGATGGCTCGTAGAGTTTGGGTGAAGCGGGGTGTACAGCTCCTGTGCGCATGGCTTTGAGGGGCGCCCTCTAGTGGTACGTTTTCCAGCTTTGAGAATCTGAGATGCACTCACTAAGGAGGGGATGCAGATGGACTTTCTGTATTTGAGGGTACAGCAGGTGACAGGTGGGGAAATGCCGAAGGGTGACTTCCCAGACCCAGCTGAGCCCTTGCTCCATGGCCCAACCTCGCCTGCCCCAGCAGTGCAGGTGTGAATACGGGGCCTCTCACCTGGGCCTTGTCCACACACAGGCCTGCCAGCTGAAGACGGAGACCATCACCTACGAAGAGAAGGAGCAGCAACTGGTCAACGACTGCGTGAAGGAGCTGAGTATGTCCCTGGCCCTCGCCCCACTCCTGTTCCCTCTTTTTTCTTTCTGCACCTGCCCGCGTTATGAGCACACAGGTTCACATCCCCTGACCAAGTCCAGTCTCCCTGCCAGCTGGGGCTCAGTGGCGTTTTCCTTAAAACTAGAGGTCCCCCAGATCTTCTGTGGCACCATCAGAAGTCACCCTATTTGTGAGAAATTGGGGGCTAGGTTCTCAGTCATACATTGTCTTAATTTCTCGCTGGTATTTAATTTTAATTTTGTTTTCTACTGGAATGTTGGAATTATTTTTTTAAAATATTTTTATTGATTTCAGAGAGGAAGGGAGAGGGAGGGAGAGAGAAACATCAATGATGAGAGAGAATCATTGATTGGTTGCCTCCTGCACACCCCCTACTGGGGATCGAGCCTACAACCTGGGCATGTGCCCTTGACTGGAATCCAACCCAGGACCCTTCAGTCCGCAGGCCGATGATCTATCTACTGAGCCAAACCAGCTAAGGCGAATGTTAGAATTATTCAGTTAGGTATAGCTTCAGAGTCCTGTGTTGGAGATACGGAAAAACTGCTTTCTAGCCATCTGACTTGTGAAAGTTGAGGTGAGAGGTTTTTTTCACCCTCTCCATTATAAGTTAAGGTGAGACAAAGTAGTCAACAGAATATTTTGAGTTTCGGCAACATACCAAGTGAATGACACACACCCTCTGTTCAAACCGAGTAAAATGAGTTATGGCTCTGATTGTGGGCGGAAAACACCCGAGGGGTTGCCTTGGGCATGGCCGTATTTCCTTTCCAGAGCAGGGTCAATAGGAGTTCCTGGGAATATAGGGACTTGTTCACGGGTGGAGAGTGGGTTTTGGCCAGACACACCTTCGTACGAGTGTGGCACCTCCTGGCTGGCTCCAGGAGCCGCCTGATTTCCTCTGGGGAGGCAGCCTTGGTCAGCGGGTTAGGCCCTCACGGTGAGCCCGGGAGCCACAGCTGGGAGCCAGGTTCCCCCTCATGGCGGAAGGAGCCAGGGGGAGCCGCTCTGCTCTGCTTCACCATCGAGCAAACGGGCACTCTCAGTCCCTTCTTCATATGCCCTCTTTGCTCCCCACCTCCCCCACCCCACCCCCATCTCAGAATAGAGGGGCTTTCCCTTGTACAAGCCACAAAGCAACCACTCTCTCTCGGTCTGTCTGCTCGGGGGGTTTTCTGACTTCGCCTTGTGCTGGTTGTTTCTGGGTCGAAGGGGACGCCAACGTGCAGATCGCCAGCATCTCGGAGGAATTGGCCAAGAAGACGGAAGACGCTGCCCGCCAGCAGGAGGAGATCACGCACCTGCTGTCTCAGATCGTGGACCTGCAGAAGAAGGCCAAAGCGGTAAGCCGCCGTTCCTCTGGCCGACACCGCGGCCGCTCTGGGGTCGAGAGGGGCCGCTGACCTGGGAGGCAGTGCCCTTACTTTCATATCTTAGGAGTGGCTACCTTTTGGAGAAAGAGCTTAGCGCATCGGTTCTCAACCTGTGGGTCGCGACCCCTTTGGGGGTCGAACGACCCTTTCACAGGGGTCGCTGAAGACCATCGGAAAACACATATGTAATTACATATTGTTTACAAAATTACAGTTATGAAGTAGCAACGAAATAATTTTATGATTGGGGGTCACCACAACATGAGGAACTGTATTAAAGGGTCGCGGCATTAGGAAGGTTGAGAACCACTGGCTTAGCGGCTTCGGTAGCATACTCCTCATCAGCACTTTCCTCCTCGGAATATCTTCAGATTGATAGGATCCACCACGAAAGCTGCTGTAGATACGGCGTTTGGGAATCGAGTCATCTAGTCTCGTAGTTGTGGTTACGCCCGCACCTGTGTGCTCTGCAGCAGCCGGTGTACCCTTTAGCTTGGAGATGAAGCAGCCAGAAGACAGTCTGGTTTCCCGTGTTTGGCCTTTGCTGGACGCGTGGGGTGAAGCGCTTCCAGAGAACAGCTGTCTGTGGGGGGGGAGGGGCAGGAGTGGGGTGGGCCACAGAGAATGAGCATGAATGTAGGAAAGACGGCCTTCAAAATGATAACAGACGGCATGTCCTCGGTGTAAGATGAGGGTCCCTGTGGGAGGGCCCAGGGTCCTAACGGGTTGCTGGGGGAGTGGGGCGTTTCTGAGCCGTGTAAGATGAGGGTCCCTGTGGGAGGGCCCAGGGTCCCAACGGAGCGGGTTGCTGGGGGAGTGGGGCGTTTCTGAGCCGCCTGCGGGAGCAGCCTGCGGGACAGGAGGAGCTGACCGCCTGTGCGTTTCAGTGCGCGGTGGAAAATGAAGAGCTGGTGCAGCACCTGGGGGCCGCCAAGGATGCCCAGCGGCAGCTCACGGCCGAGGTAAGCGGCTCCCCCTCATTTCCTCGGGGCCCCCGATGCCAGGTCGGGGGCAACAGCCTCTCCCCCTGACGGGCCGTGGGTTGTGTTCCCCTCAACAACCATTTTTATATTGAATGGAAGGTTGTTTTGACTCCTAAGCTGATTCCCGCTGAGGCACTTACTGGTTTCGAGCGTCTGCGAGGCTGGGCTCTATACCTGCTCACTAAACAGTCCAGTAAGAGACGACACAGAGCACACCCGTGAAGGGAGCCCATTCAAAGGCACCCTTGAGACCGGGGTGTCTCGATGAGCTCTCCCGTTCGGATGTGGATGTTGCCCATCTCAGTTGCCCCTGGTTAGAGGTTTAGGAGATTTCAGAGTCGGAAAGCGTGTTCCCCGTGAGGACTCGGGCGTTTGGCTTCAGGGGCCTCCCTGAGTGCACGTGTCTGGCTGGCTGTGCGGGTGGGCGGGCAGGTGCCCGGTGCTCACCAGCTGCCTCCCTGGGCCCCTGCAGCTGCGGGAACTGGAGGACAAGTACGCCGAGTGCATGGAGATGCTCCACGAGGCGCAGGAGGAGCTCAAGAACCTCCGGAACAAGACGGTGCCCAACACCACGTCCCGGCGCTACCACTCGCTGGGCCTGTTCCCCATGGTACGTGCCGCTGCTGCTGCTGCCGCTGCTGCTGCTGCTGCTGCGCGGGACACCCCGGGCCCACCCAGAGGCGGGCTGGGGTGGAATCTGGGGGGGCGGCCTCTCGTTTTGCAGCGTGGATCGGGTTCGAGCTGCAGGCTCCTGAGCCCAGCTGGCAGCCTCTTAGCTACGTGAGACAGACGGGTTCTTCACTTTCCATCCCTCTCACGCTCACCTTTTCTCCGCCTGCTTTGACGAGAGAGGTTTTAGTAGGAACTAGATGGAGTAGGAACCTCAGCTGCTGGGAAGGTGTTATTTATACATGATTTTTTCTGATCTGATGAGGGTACGGGCTACTTCGGCTGCGCCAGTACATCCCAGAATTCCCGAGTGGCCCGCGTGGTGCTGCCGGCTCTCTGTCGGCTGGTTAATCGTTATGCTGGTGGCATCAGTATCTGTGATCTAAAAAGATCTTTCTCTCTGTTCCGGGGCTGGGGGGGGGGGGGGTGCGCGCGTTTATATTGTCCATATTTCCCCGCCGTCTCATTGTTCAGCCCTGGCCTGACTTGTCCCCTGTTGGGCTGTAGGGAGCAGGGCTGAGAAGGGGCTTGGCAGGAGGTCAGCTCTCCCTCTGGTGCTTGGGCAGTCGCCCTGGCTGGTCACGTCCCTGTGACATGGGGTGAGCTCCCTCATTCTGTCCTCTCTCCGCCGCGGCCCTGGGAGGCGAGCACCTTGTCTCTTTGCCGTTTCCCTCCTCCCCTCTCTCTACCACCCTGCACCTAGAGCTGCAGGTGCTTAATAGATTCGGGTGGTGGGCGGATAGACTGGAGAACAGCGACCCAGAACGTTTGTATTTGGGCTCCGTTTCCATGGTTTGATGAAATACTGGATTCCGAGGAGGGAACGTTGGAGAGAAACTGCCCTGAACGTGGTGGGAGTGGACGGCTGTGGAAGTGTTTGTGGAACTCGGTCCCTTCTGAATTTTCCTTGGGGCTCTTTCCCTTCGCCCACCCCTTGTTGTCTGGTCCACTCTTCCTAAATCAGGGGCGGGGAGCCTTTTTCCTGCCAAGGGCCACTGGATATTTATAACTCATTCGCTTAATATCATTCACTTAATATAAATTTATGTTGCTATGAAAAAAAGAAAAAGCTCCTAAATTTATTGAATTTCAAGTCCCGCTTGCAGTTGCCTGGGCAGGGCAGACCAAATTGATTTCGAGGGCCTTCTACGGCCCACAGGCCGGACGTTCCCCACCCCTGTCCGAGATCATGACCTCTTTTTCCTTGTTGCTCTCATACATCCAAGTCAGGCTAGAGCTCTTTCTCTTCTTCTCTCGACCTGGTTGAAATCTACTGCGACCAAAAAGGCACACAACCTAGTCAGCTCCCCAAGGAGCAGGCCAGCGATCCAGGATTCCAGGGATCCCCGTGAAGAGTGTTCTGTCCCCCAGTTCCTCGACTAGAGCGGACCACACCGGCTCCCAGACTCGCCTGTGTAGCTTTTCACACTTCTCGCCTCGGTTTCCCTCCTTCCTGGCTTCTCACCGGGGTGCAGTGGTCTCCAGGCCCTAGGACTCTCCCCATTGCATTCCCCACCCTCCGGGACAGACCTGTGTTTTTGCAGATCGAAACCATTGCCTGAGGAAAGTGGGGTTGGAAATCTGCGGCCGGGTTTCCTCTGCAGAGAGTCTCAGCGTTCCTGTTCGCTGAGATGAAGCTTTTGTTTGTCTCTTTCTGTAGCTGATGGCACAGCTCTGTGTTTGAAGATGTCTATCTTTAAAGTGCATGATGCATTAAAGGTACTTAAATCAATCTAACGTCAATCCATTGGAGTTAAATGCAATCAAGAATTCAGTTCCTCAGGCACAGGGGCCCCATTTCCAGGGCTCAGCTGCCCCGGGTGGCTGGTGGCCCCTCGCTGGACAGAAAGGGAGCATTCCCGGCGTCACGGGGAGGCTGGTGGTCAGCGCACTTTAGCCCTTAGGTCAGTGATGGCAAACCTATGACACACATGTCAGAGGTGACACGCAAATGTCAGAGGTGACAAGCGAACTCATTTTTTTTGGTTGATTTTTCTTTGTTAAATGGCATTTAAATATATAAAATAAATATCAAAAATATAAGTCTTTGTTTTACTATGGTTGCAAATATCAAAAAATTTCTATATGTGACACGGCACCAGAGTTAAGTTAGGGTTTTTCAAAATGCTGACACGCCGAACTCAAAAGGTTCACCATCACTGCCTTAGGTTGACCTCCTCTGAGGCCTTCGCAGGTGCTTTTCTGCCCGCACCTGGTTCTGTGAGCGTCTCCCTATATCCGGGCATGGGACTGTCTGTAGGGCTCTACCTCACACAATGAGAAGTGGTGGGCGGTTCAGAACCTATGTGAGCTGAGCAGTTAGCAGCCCCCAGACGGGAGGACAATAGCTTAGTGCAGCCCCCGTGGGCATGACCTCACCTGACTGCTCAGAAGCCTGGCGGTCCATGGGAACTTGCCCATCAGTGTCAGGCCTCTCTCCCTCCCTAAGTTCCCCGCCTCTCCTGTGGCCACAGTTGGGGTTCCGTGGTTTGGCCAAGGGAGCGTAGGATTTGCTTTCAGACCCTCAGCCGCATGGAAGCAAAGGGGCTTTAGTGCACTTGGTGCCGTTCGGTGCCTGCTGTGTTCAGAACCTGCCTGGGGATGGCTCAGCTGGGGCCTCTGACCATGGCAAATGCTCTCAACCTTGCATTGTGGGATGTTTGTGGGCTCTGAGGCCCCAGTTTACCCTTCTGTGGCCAGCCCGAGCACGAGCCTCTTTCAGAGATAGAGCGTTGGAGTTGCAGCTCACACGGGTGTCTTCTGGCTTTTCCCAGGACTCCCTGGCAGCCGAGATCGAGGGGACGATGCGGAAGGAGCTACAGTTGGAAGAGCCCGAGTCACCAGACATCGCGTAAGGCCTTACTTCTGAGCTTCCCTAAGGGACCACCTGGCGCCCGGTGGTGGTCAAAACGAGCAATGTTTGGGCCTCAGGCACCAACAGTGATCACTGTGGTCCCTCCACAGACTAAGGGAAATGAGAGGACACAGCTGACATCACCCCCAGCTCCTCTGGTGACGTGTTAAAGATAGATTATGAACTTCCAGGAGGTTGGGACCGGAGAGATGTATTTAACATTTCCACACAAGTGCCGTCTTGACACCTCCACTCATTTTCATCTTCCCTCTCAGTGAAAACCATTATTTTTAAAATGTTAACATCTTTTAGGAAGAGGAAAAGTAGGATGTGAGATACACCTTCAGGGGTGTGAGCAAGGCGTCCACTCCCTTCTGGATCCGTTTAGGGATGTTGGCCTCCGCCATCTCTCTCCCTAACTCGCGACCTCGTGCTGAGGTGCGAGGAGGAACCCGTGGGTCCGATTTCATCATGTTTTCTCTGTACCGAAACCCCAGAGGCAGAACCGAAAAGGGATGGATCCTGAGCGTGGGTAGTATCCAGAGCCTCGGCCCCATCCCTGAAAGATGCGTCCGTTATGGAAACGTGCCCTTTTCTCCTTAAAAGGGAACAAATGAGCATCAAAATGTGTGGCTCTGCTCTTAGAAATAGCAGTTTCTAAAAACAGACTGATCTGATTTTCATCATCTCAGAAGTTTGACTAACTTGAAGTCTTGCTATTTTTATACAGTCATGTGCCACCTAATGACTTTCAGTCCGTGACGGACCACACATACGACGGGGGTCCCATACGGTTAAAAAGGAGCTGAAAACTCCTGCCACCTAGTGACACCAAAGCTGTCAAAACGTCACAACACAACGCGTCACAATCGTGGCGGTGCTGGTGTAAACAGACCTACGGCACTGCCATTCGTATAAAAGCATCACATACAGTTACGCACAGTATTTAATACTGGACAATGACAATAGAGGACTTGGTTACTGGTTTATGTGTTTATTATACTTTTTATCATTTTTAGAGGGTACCCTCTCTACTTAAAAAAGTAAGTTTGCTGCTAAACAGTGTGCCGTGTGACGCCGGCAGCAGCCTCACGTACCCCCGTTTCACCGCATCTCTTGATTGCATCGTTTGCTTGTGTTTGCTTTAATCTCCTGTGGTTTTGCACAGCAGCAGGTGGAACAGAGTTGCAGCCCAGGAGCACTAGGCTCCGCCACCTAGGTGTGTGTAAGTGCACGCCGCGATGTTCACGCAGTGACCAAATTGCGTAATGAAGCATCTCTCAAACTGTGGCCCTGTCATTGAGCGGCACGTGACTGTGTGAGAATAGTCAGGACGTGTTCCTTCTACAGATACTTGCTGAGCCCTGTTAGGTGCAGAGCAGTACACACTGCCTCCTGGGGTTTGCCTTCGGGCGACGCTCATGAAGAAAGAGAACTAGCAGGGAGACAGCACGACTTGAGTATTTTTATTTGGAGGCCAAGCTGGAGGGGGTTGGGAAGCAGTATCGCTCCTGCTAGCCTCCCTGTTAGGACACAAGCATGTGTGAGAGCCCCGACGTCAGTGGGTGGTGAGTCTCCTGCATTCCAGCCAGCACCCTGAGAAACCCGTGGCAGGCCCAGGAGGGCAGGTTGTTGGGCGCTCACGTGGGCCAGCTACCTTCCTGGCTTCCCCGTTGATCCTTTCGGGAGGGTTTCACTCCAGGGTCGTTCCTACACTTGCTCACTCACGGGTGATGTTGTGCATCCTCCCCAGTCACCAGAAGCGAGTCTTCGAGACCGTTCGGAACATCAACCAGGTGGTCAAGCAGAGGTCCCTGACGCCCTCCCCCATGAACATCCCCGGCTCCAACCAGTCCTCGGCCATGAACTCCCTCCTGTCCAGCTGCGTCAGCACCCCCCGGTCCAGCTTCTACGGCAGCGACGTCGGCAACGTCGTCCTGGACAACAAGACCAACAGCATCATCCTGGAGGCAGAGGCGGCCAACCTGGGGTGAGCAGCGGGCGGTGGTGCTTTTGTGTGTGGGAGACGGATGGGTGTGGAGTGAACGCAGGGCCAGTCCTCAGAGGGGGGAGACCGATAGGAATTGCCTGGACGATACAGACCCTTCAGTTCTCAGATGCGTTTCACCGGCCCGCTGAGCCCAGGCTTAGCCTTGACGCCGATCTTTTCACCGGTCTAAGGGGTATGACAGGACGTGGCGGGAAGTCTGCCGCTCTGTAAAGTGCCGAAGGGCGGGATACGTGAACGTGTGTTTCTGTTCATCTTCACGGTGAAGGCTACAGCGTAGACATTTGTTTCACGGACCCTTTGGTGGCTGGGATGTTCGGAAGGTCGAGGAGCACCCAGGCTCTATCTCATGAATCTGGTTTGCTTCGGAAGGTGGGGTGTGGGGCGCCCCGCAAGTGCCCGCCACACCGAGTGTCCCTGGGTGGCCCTTCCTCTGCAGGGGTCGCCCCTCTCCAGCCTGAAGCCCTGCAGAATCCCGCCCAACACACACTGTCTACTGCGTGCACACGACTCCTGTGACTGCATAACATTGTTTTTTTCTGACCAGTTGGGTCAGACCGTTGGGAACCTGCTTGGTCGGGACAGCTTGGAGCTTTCATCTCCTTAAATTCAAGTAGAAAGAGGGGAGTCCCTTGAGCCTGCGGCCCTTCCTCTAACTAGGAGCCGCAGCTGAAGAAGGCTTCTTCCCCAGGGAGGTGTTGAGAGGATTGGATTACGTCGTGTATGCTTCCTAATGCCGCGACCCTTTAATACAGTTCCTCATGTTGTGGTGACCCCCAACCATAAAATTATTTTTGTTGCTACTTCATAACTGTAATTTTGCTACTGTTATGAATCGTAATGTAAATATCTGATATGCAGGATGTATTTTCATTGTTACAAATTGAACATAATTAAAGCATAGTGATTAATCACAAAAACAATATGTAATTATATATGTGTTTTCCGATGGTCTTAGGCGACCCCTGTGAAAGGGTCGTTCGATCCCCAAAGGTTGAGAACCGCTGCAATAGAGGGAATTAGTTCTTCAGGTTAAGCATTGTTTTTCTTTTTTGGGTTAATCCTCACCAGAGGATCTTTTTTCCATTGCCAGAGAGTGGAAGGGAGGGAGAGCGGGGAGAGAAACATGTGTGAGAGACACCGATTGGTTGCCTCCTGCACATGCCCGGTAGGGGCTGGGGAAGGAACCCGCAATCCAGGTACGTGCCCTTGACTGGGAATCGAACCCAAGATCCTTCCGTTCCCAGGCCGACGCTCTAACCACCGAGCACACCGGCCAGGGCTGTTTCCCCATTTTTGCCTACATCTCAAAGACCTGCTGTGGTTTCCTTAGAATACCCACAGCCACCCTTGCACATGCAGCAGGAAGGCCTCGTTGTGTGTGGTGCAGCGCCCCCTGCTGGGCGTGCCACGCTCACCCGGTCTCCCCCTCCTTCCAGAAACAACGAGCAGAGTAAGAAGCCGGGGACACCGGGCACCCCGGGCTCCCACGACCTGGAGACGGCGCTGAGGCGGCTGTCCCTCCGCCGGGAAAACTACCTGTTGGAGAGGAGGTTCTTCGAGGAGGAGCAGGAGCGGAAGCTCAGGGAGCTGGCGGAGAAGGGCGAGCTGCTCGGCGGCTCCCTCACGCCCACCGAGAGCATCATGTCCCTGGGCACGCACTCCCGCTTCTCCGAGTTCACCGGCTTCTCGGGCATGTCCTTCAGCAGCCGCTCCTACCTGCCCGAGAAACTCCAGATCGTCAAGCCGCTGGAAGGTGATCCCCGGGGGCCCCGGCCCCTCTCTGTCCTGCTCGGGGACTCCCTGTGGTCTCTGATCCACCACGGGCCCTCGGGGAGCGTCTGTCACGCCTACTCCTTCTTCTTCCGGGACAGCCACCCGCGCTGCTGGTTTGAGTTCCTCTGAGGGACTCTGGCCCAGGCCCCCAGCTCTATCAATCCCGTGCAGGTTGGGATAAACAACACAGGCGCCCGCGTCTAACCTCGGCCAGGAAGCCAGCGAAAAGGACGTCCCCCCCCCCCCCCCCCCCAGGTCTGAGCAGCGTAGAGAATTCATGCTTTGGCTTCTCAGAAATGTTGGTGTCAGGGAGGGGGTGCAAAGCTAACGCCCTAAGTTTTCTCAGTAACCACAGGAAAGCGATTTGCAGTTTGTCTTTGCAGTTTGTCGGCTCATGTTCTGCTTCGACCTTCGAATAGGGTGGCTTTCTTCCTGTGCCCTGTTCTGAGCAAGGCCCCCAGACCACCGCTCTCTGGGGGCCAGGACGGGGTGGCTGTGGAGGCCTGTGAGTTCTGTGCCTTCTTGATCCTGCCTTTTCCTGGGGCAATTCCCTTTTTTGCTACCAGGGACACCCCAGGTGATTAAACTCCTGGAAAAACGCACCTGTTTCTCTCTCTTTTTCCTCTAAGCATTATAAAATGTCTGCCCTTTCCCCACCACTACCCGGCCACATCTTTGTATTTTTCATTTTTTACCCCTGTAGTTTGGGAACCCAGGTGAGTTTGAGAAGGTGTCTTAGAATTCTGGATTACATTTCTGATGAAAAGCCAAATCAGAATTTCTGTGAGGCAGTATTTCTCAACTTTTAAGAAAAATTCCCCCCTTTAAAGAGCTGATTTAGATATCTATTCCCCCTGAAAATGTAATACCACAGGTATACCGTTCATGTACTATATGTATATCTGAGCTCTGTGCCTAAGAAGAGTAGATTCTTTTCACCCCACAAGAACCCATCTTCAGCCCCTTGAGGGTAGTATCTCCCCTGTTGGGAATTCCTGCCATAAGATGAGGTTCTGCTTATTAAAGACCCAAGACAACGGGGTTTCCATATTCTCCGAAGGAAGGAGGGTGGGTTATGTTCTTCTTTTCATGATTATTTTTTAATTGTATAAGTGAGGTCCTTCTTAGATTTCAAAAAAGGGACGGCTTTTTTTCTTTTTCTTTTCATGTTTATTCAGTTGTAAGCTTGATGATTGTTTTCTGATCCACGATTATGTCTGTTTTTCTTTCAATAAAATCTTCCATTTCTGCAATTTTGCTTTCTGCCTATCTTTTATTTATTTTTTTCTCTTTTGTCTCTCAAAGATCATTGGCGTTTATCATCTCTATCTTGTCTGCTTTCTATATTTGACTTTGTGTTTCATTAGTTCATCGAAGAATATGTTTTTGGATCCATTTTCCAAGCATTATTGCAGGAAGAGATTTTTTTAAAAATTCATTTTGACCAACGCATCTTTTTTTTTCCTTTTAGTCTTGTGACTTAGGCAGCAGTATTTTTGTGATAAGAGGAAATCCCTTTAGACTTGCAAGATAAGTTTCATCTATAGTACCCTGCTTACCCGAACGCTAAAACCACTACCATTAAGAAGTCATCTCTTATCGCTATTGCCTGTAACACATCCGCACGATAGAAGTCCCTCTGGCTCCATTTGGTAGTTCTCGGTCTTTTTTGTTGTTTAAAATACAACCAATATTTTATTTCTTCCTTCCCTCCACAATTATTTTTTGTGTTCCTAAGCTTACTTTGCTCAGGTGTACGGCTGGCACGGAAATCTGCCCGACCCTGAGTTCAGCGCAGCTGTAACCGTGACCTTGGATAAGCCACCTCACCTTTTTGAGCCCCTTTCCCCTTATCTGTGAAGTAGGGCTCCCGTCTCCCACACGATATTGGAACGAAGAGTAAACGTGATGTGTTTTGTATTATGCTCAGCACCCTAATTGGTGCTAATGAAAACCTAGGCTCCCCAAACTTAGCCCTGTTCGAGCAGCTCAGGTCTGACGGTGGCCTTACCGGTGTTGAGACCTGTGTTGGAGCCACGCTCTGACATCACCTCTTTCCACTGGCCCACTAAGAAGCTGGTAGGATTCCCGTCACCTCCAGTGACCCAGGTAACTATACCTGCGGTGAGGCCCCTGGAGACGGTGGCTGGGATCACAGCAGACAGCCAATCTGCGTCTTCCATCGGCATCTCCCTGCCTGCTTCATCAATCTTGCTGTCTGCTGGTTGGAGTCGGCCAAGATCGCCGGCTCGGTGTTGAAGCCCGCGGGCTACTCTTGTTTCCTCCGCTGACCTTACGTGTGTTAAGCAGGTGACAAAACAATCAGACTAGGAGAGATCTGTGTTACAAAGATGAGTCGGGCAGTGTATTTCCCTCCCTGGATTTTGCTCTTCCTTTCGGATTAGTTATAACCAAGATAGTATTTCCAAATAAACAAGATAATATGGAATTAGGGAAAAGCGCACACTTGTAAGCTGTACGTTACCCAGCAGGTTTAGTTCTAACTTTTAGGCCCCGGGTGCTTCTCTGACATAAATGGATTTGCTTTTTTTCTTCTTCTTTGATGACGTGAATACTTTTTAGTTTGGACAGTGGGGTGTGAAAGGAAATGGGGAAAGGGGCGGTGACCATAACTGTGTTCTCTGTACTGCCCATGCCCTTGTTTCATAGAATTTCATCTTGGTGCCAACTAGAAGCACGACGGTTCCTCTCTCCACCTGCCCCGTTGTCTGACCGCAGCCTCATTCTCATGGGGCAGGAGGAGGGGTGGGTGGTGGGAAGTAGCTGATAGTGCAGTCAGTCCTCACTTCACGTCGTCCATAGTTTCTTGGAATGGCCGAGCCGGTGTGTCGTTGACCTGACTCCCGAGACTCGCCTCTGGGAGGCCCCTTGGCCGCTGGCCGAGAGGCAGTCTGTGTGGTTCAGAGGGTGGGCCCTGGAGCCAGCCTGGGTTTGAATCCCAGATTGGCCATTGGCCAGCTGTGCAGCCTCTGGCAAGTTACTTTACCTCCCTGTGCTCGGCTTCCTCCTCTGTAAAGTGGGGACAACAGGGTTATCGTGACGATGAAGTGAGCTCATAAATGTAGACCTCTAAGGAGAGCGCCTGGCACTTCGTACAAGTTAGCTGTTTGATGAGTAAGGGAGGCCCGAGTCTTGGGGTAAAAATCCAAGGCCATGCATCATCTTGCAGCATAATCTTTCATTTGTCATCTCACTACCTTTCCCTGGCTGTGCATTGTCGGGGAATGCAGATAACCCCCCGCACTTCCGTAGCCTCTTTAACGCCCAAAGCAGACCCGTTGCAGCCTCATTTCCCTCGGTAGCCCATACAGAGGGGGGAGATGGGGGCAGTCTGTTGGACAGGAAGATCGAGGTGCATGGACTCTGGGCCTATCCTCCAGCCTCACCGAGTTCTTCCCCAGAACATTGCAAACGTCTCGAGCCCCTTCCTTGACACAGTGTCGACTTGCCCGTTTTTCCCCTTCCAGAAGTAGAGGTGACACGGCCACGCTGCTCCTGGAGGTTTCTCATCATCCTTCTAAGACCCATACGTGCAGTCCAAGCTGGAGGCCATATTCCCCATGTGCTTTTGCTGCAGGAAAGTGTCTGTGCCTCCAGCAAACACATAAGCAGGGACCGTTGTGGGTGATGAATGGGGGTCCCGGGGGGTGGGGCATGAGAAATCCCATCAGCAGAAGTGTGTGTGTCTCCTGGCGGGCACTGGGCACTCACCTGGCAGTTTTACTGCCCACCGTGTATGCTTCTCGCTGGCTGGAGCGCTGATGTCCTTGCTTGTTTGCAGACCTGTGGATCGGGGTATTGGGGGAGGGGGCAGAGATTGCTGAAAGAACCTGGCCTTGGGCACTGAACCCTGGCGGTGCCACCCCTGGTTCAGTGACTTGGCAAAGTCACGTCCCTTCCTTGAGCCTCAATGGGTAATAGTACTCACCTCGTAGGGCAGGGCAGCTTTGAGGAGTGAGTTGATGTAACACCTCTAAAGCTAGCTGTCACGCAGGCGTGCCTCAGCACAGGGGAGCTCTTTGTAAACGTGCTGTGTGGCCCCGGGGACTCAGGATCCCACCACCGGGTCTCGGCGGGTGTGCAAAGCCCTGGCCGTGTGCACACAGCGGCGCTTCTATGTGAGATGCCTTTGGGGAGAGGGTCCATGGCTGCCTCCAGGGTCCCAAAGGATCTGAGAATAAGGACCACGGGCCGAGCCCAGGGTTCCCCATCGGCACTGCTGGCGTTGGGGGCCAAGCCATCCTTTGTCGCGGGGGCTGTCCTGCGTGTGTGGGATGGACAGCAGCGTCCCCGGCTTTGCCCACTGGATGCCGTGAGCATGTTCCTCCACGGTTGTGGCAACAACAGTGCCTCCGGGCAGTTCCAGATGTCCCCGTGGAGAACCACTGCTCTAAGGGAGAGAACAGCTGTGTGGTGCCCTCGGTCACGCTAGGCATCTCTTTCTTATGATACTACTTCTCTTTTTTGCATTTGGAATACTTTCTATTTATGGCCAATAGATGCCGGGTAAGTAGGCTGCTGCTGTTCTTGTGCAAATGAGACAGACCTCAAAGCGGGGTCCAGGGAGTCTCCTAAACATGTGCAGGCATTGCGGGCCAGTTTTTCCCTCTCTTACGTGGATCTGAAATGGCCCATTGACGAAATTCCTTCACGGCTCCTTGGCTGAGATTGCCCCCCGGGAAGTTACTTTCCAGCTGTGATGAGAGATAGGGCCCTTACTGAGCACCCCATCCCGTCCCCCCCGCGCCCCCGCCCCCAGATCTGGAGCTCCTGATCGATGAGCTAGGGTTCTCTGCTTCTTGGTCACATTCCTGGTTGGCTTCCTGACCTCACCGCCCGCCTGTCCCTTCTGTTCCATCCTGACTTCCTGAGCTGCTGGCTCCTGCATCCTCCTCTCCCCTTCCTGACGGGGCAGCCTGGTGGCCTGGAGGGGTTCTTGCCCACCCAACAGAGGACACCATTGGTGACCCAGCGGTGACCATCTCGGGCCATGTGCGTGGAAGGCTCTTGCTTGCCCGGGCCCGAGACCCTCTCACAGTCTGCCTGGCGTGTAGAACATGTATTTGTGTGGTTAACTTCATCTGGAGCACGGGGCTGGACCGCCCAGCCTCCCGGGCCGTGCACCCGGCGTACCAGGGCCACACCAGGTGTAGCAAGTGTTCCCAGGGGGGCAGAATCGCAGCCCAGAGCAACGTCCGAAAGGTTCTGGGATGAGCCTCCGTAGATGCACCTGGTCTTGGAACGCTTCTCCCTGTGAGCACCTGTGACACCGCCAGGTCCTCAGGGACACGCGCTGGTGTCATTACAGACGTGCACAGTGTCATCTGAGTCCCAGGCTCCGGTGTCACTGAGGAGATCGGCTCCTCGGCCTCAGGCCTCGGTGAGGACTGGCCAAGGGCTTCCATCACAACCCTTTAGGCCGGTCCCCATCCCTAAACCGGAGGTCGCTGGCAGATACAGAACAACTAAGTAAGGAGGCCAT